GATAAAATAATGTACCAAAGTAGCCCTGTGTGACTGACTTGACTACCCATTACTGAGTTTGTAGTCCTTTGATTAGCTATTCTCCTACCCTTGACTGAATTATCTCCTGTTTATAACCTGTTCAAAATGTCTCTGTCACCCCTAGGGTATGTTTTTTTGTCACCTCTAGGGTATGACAGGTTGCATACAGAAAGAAACAATTCTTTGACATCACAGGGGCAATCAGATATGATGTCATTATCGGCTCTTGATGGGAGAGGTCATGTGCAAACCAGGATAACAAACAGATTCCAAAAAATTAATGCTGAAAACTATTGTTTTTCAACAGAATGGAATGATGGGAGAAAAATAATCAAAACCTTGGGTAAGACAACCAAATAATTCACCCCTCGGGTTGGAGATTTCTCTGTCACACCCTTAAGATATAAGATGATTTAGTTAGACTTCTCTTTACTGAGACAAAATCTCTGTGATTACCTCTGGAGCCGATGGCTGAGGACTGCTGCTGACTGAGGGCCTGCATATCGAGACAGCTGCGGATGTTTTTGTGAAGCCCCTCTTTACAGCTTGTCACCACCCTGTCCACTGTGTGGTGCAGGCACCGCAGGTTGTGGAACACTTGAAGTGCGGTCGCCACCTGTGTTGGGTTCTGTGGAGCCAACACAAAACTTGTATGTCTAAACCATAACATGAAGCTTTTATCAAATAAGTATACTTTTACTGTTACATTATTTAGAGTATTTTACACTCTTTAAAATAGCTTTATTCAAGTTTCTCACAGGCCTTGCCTTTCACTTAAAACAGTTTTATATTTAAAACTCACTTAATGATTTTCTCATTCTTTTCCATTTTCAAAGCTGAATATTCACACTTATAACTGAAAGATTAAATCTATAACGATACATTATACAGGTGGTTGTGGTGAAGATTTTAATTTCCATAATAGTATGAACAGCAGATTCCACCTTTAACTATCTAGAAAACATATCCACATTCCTTAATATATCAAATATTCTATTTCTGGCTATTATGGTGATATTCAAAACACAAGTGGCATAAAGGACCTGTATTGCTTGTCTGGTCTATTATTAATACATTAGTAATATCTGTTGTAAAACACATTTGACTCCTGGCTGTCACATTGATTATCAGTTGATTTACATTATTAACTTAGTTGCCCTTTACATCTGCAAATAGCAGGCCAGACATTAGCCTAGGCATTTTGCTTATGGAATCAAAAAGAAGTTGTTTGACAATTGTAACATGTCTTACTCGTGTGACTTTGGAAGTCAAAGATTGTTTTTTTTAAACCAATAGCCCTTTACACAAGAAATCTACAGGCTGAATATCATTACTCCTAGCCTCATAGCCTTCAGATGATGGTGTTTGAAAATATAAATCAAAGAGGAGTACACTTTAATCTATGCAATGCTAAATATAAATATCTATTGGTATATATGTTCAAACCTGAGTCTCCAGTCCCTGGTCTAACATTTTCTGAGCCTGTGTTTCAACATCGTTCCTCGCTCCTCTGATAAATCTTCGGTCCTGCTCTATAATTTCTACGCCAGCAAAATCAACTCCCTCACATATGTAATCTACAAGGAACAAATAATGTAATGCTATATCAAACTACACACAATACTTCTTACAGCAAATCAATCATATGTCACAAGAATTTCTCATGAATTCCTGAGAATAACAAATTCAAATATCTTTCAAATATTCAATCAGAAAAAACTTACAAGGCACAAGTGTTTTTTTCTTAGTGATTTAAAGGAACTCTCTTTTTGGTTTTTATACTCAGAAACTAATCGCATTTAAAGAAATAGACTACACCACTTTCATATCTAAAAGGTAACTTTATTAGGCTTGGTTAATTACCTGATGACACGTTAGACACAACTTAGACAGGTGTAAGAATACAAACAATGGTAACAGAAAAAATAAATAAGAAAGGTTACTCCAACATAAATCACAATATTATACACAAGGTGGCATACAGCCTTAAATGATGAAACAAGTTCTAAATAATGCTATATTCTTAATTTCAAAAGAAACTGCTTTGTCTTTTAAATCAAAATCTTAGTAAGTTGCTTGCAAAACCAATACAGATTGTTTTTAAGTAGCAACTGTAATTGGATCTCAACAGAGAATCACAGGACTAAAACACAAATGTATGATTTTGAGGGATTATTCTGGCTTGGTTTCAAAATCATCTGTATTTAAATTTCTATTCGTGATGTACCCAGTTCATTAAGGCTCTGTGCTGCCTTGGTTATCTCCCTTGCCCCTCCCTGTAGCTGACTGTGTAGACGTTTGCTGAGGTACATGATACGGATTATCCTCCTTAGTAAGTCACAGGTTTCCTACAACATCAAACATCAAACAGAAGTCACATCAACAGTACTGAGGAGTTTATATAGAAACACTGTTGTCACTTTTAAAAGATCAGATATCACTTCATGTAGTCTTTACCCAATCTGATGAGGTATTTGACATATAAATCTGACAGTAACTTATCATGACAGAATACAAAAATAAAAGAAACAATTTGTTCAGAGATTATTGCATGAATTTTTATTATGAGTCACAGCAAAAAAAACAAATTAAGAT